GATGGCAGGGGACAATAGCGGCTGACGTGTACGAGACCCTTGTCGTGGGCCAGACTCTCTTCTGAAAACCGTGCACACCTCAGCAACTGTCATCAGTGCCCTGAAGGACGTTCATGACTCTCGTTTTACAAAGAGGCAAAGCCAAGTAGAGGGAAACCCATTGCTCACGACTACCCAGCTCACAAGTGGAAATCACAGCAGAGAGACAGGCTGGGTTCAGATTAAGGCGAGCCTCGACTATCCAGGCTTGAGAGGGAAATTGAAGCCACAAACCCGGCTTGAGTGTCGCCCATGAGCCAGTCACTGGGGAGTCACAGTCAAGGATCCACAGACAGGATGTGCCCAAAGCCCTAAAAAGGACCTTCCAGGCTTCCCTGGTGGCGCAGTGGTTGAGAGTCCGCCCGCCGATGCAGGGGACACGGGTTTGTGCCCCGGTCTGGGAAGGTCCCACATGCCGCGGAGCGGCTGGGCCCGTGAGCCGTGGCCGCTGAGCCTGCGCGTCCGGAGCCTGTGCTCCGCGGTGGGAGAGGCCACAGCAGTGAGAGGCCCGCGTACCGCACCCACCCCCCCAAAAAAAAGGTTAAAAAAAGAGAAACTTTTTTTTTTCTTTTTCACAAAAGAAAGAAACCAAACAAACCAACAACCACAAAAAAACCAGTCTTACTTGATTATTCAGATACACTGGACTACTTTCTTTGGGGTGATTTCCAATTTCCTTCCTTTTGACAATACAGTTACGGTCCCTGGGGTTGGGGAGGAAGGCAGTATCCTTTTCCCCAAACCCCACATCTCCACACGAACCGCCCCCCTAGGTGAGGGTCTGCACAGATTTTCCAGGTACCGTGTAAGGTCAGAGTTGATAAAGAAAAATTTAAAGATGCGCTGGGGCCAAAGCGAGGCTCCGGCTGAAAAGTCTCAGTTTCCGACTCCAGCAGCCTGCCGGTGCCTTGCCCCCCACTTCTAGGTTCTGTGCCAGGCCAGGAGAAGCCGGACGCCCGTGCCCAGATGTTGCAGCAGGAAGAGGGGCAGGGCTAGAATTTCCACTCGAGGAGCTTACAATCACCCAGGGAGCGAGGATCGAGCTGTAAAATCTCCAACAAGCGCAGCCCAGAGTGGACTCAGCCCCATGGTCCGTGCTGCTCCTCTGACGAGCTGGTCAGCAATTAATCAGGAAAATGAGGCCGGAGCGCCTAGGAAATGAAGATGAGGTTGGTGAACCCGATTTACAGCTGGGGTTTCGAGAGGGAAGGTGGAAGAGGACCGGAGCGGTAAGGCTCCATCGCAGCCAGGCCCCCCCGGGGGGTGTGGACGGCGGGGGGGGGGGGGGTGATCTGAGGGGGGCGGCGGCTGTGTCTCACCAGCCCCCCGCTGAGACCCGAGGGCCTGGAGGAGGGAGGGCTTGCGTTTTAGCTCTTTCTTTCGAATATTCTAGTAAAGCCATAGACCCTCTGGTCAGAGGAAGGCACAGGTGATTCTGCAAACAATGTCAAGCGTTCGGGTATCCCAGAAGCCCATCCCCACCAGGTGAGGAGCCCCAGACGGTGAAAACATGAAGCAGAGGTACGGGGCCCTGCGGAGAGGTACGAGCACCGGTGGTCACCTCATCTGGTTTCTGTCCCACAGATGCTGCTGGGAAGGTGCCCACGGTCCCCCAGGAGGTGGTGGCACCGGGACTTGGGTTCAGGTTTGTCCGAACCCCAAGCCCGTGTTAGACCTCATTATTCTCATGGGATGAACCCAAAGGCCTGAAGATGAAAAGCCCTAACCCCCCACGCCCCCCCAGGCACAATAGCTTGAGCCTCTTTATCCTTCCGGATTGGACAAAGCCTTACGATTCTGGGAGTGGGTCTGGGATACCCCGGTATGAGCCCCCATTCCAGCAGGAGGGGAAGGTGCAGCCACCTGAATCCTGAGGACCAAGATCACCGAATCCTGCAGCCCGGACTCTCTAGGACTCTCGCCAGCTCCCCTGGCAGCCGCCCCATCACACCGCCCGCAGAGGCTGCGCAGTGCAAGCCAGCCCCGCCCCCATCCCCGCACAGCCCCCATCCCCGCGCGGCCCCCATCCCCTGCCTTCCTCTGCCTCGTCGGCCCTGAGCCAGCTTACAGAGGAGCAAAAAGTCAACCAGATCCGCCGCAGACCACGCTCCTGAGAAGTCAAGTCCAACTGCCATCACAGACACTTTTTCTTAAATTTTATTGTAGCTGATTTTCAATGTTGTGTTAGTTTCTGCTGTACAGCAAAGTGATTCAGTTACACACATACATACATTCCTTTAATATATTCTTTTTCCATTGTGGTTTATCAGAGGATGCCGAGTATAGTTCCCTGTGCTACACAGTAGGACCTTGTTGTTTCTCCATCCTCTGTATAATAGTTTGCATCTGCTAATCCCAAACTCCCACTCCATCCCTCCCCCACCCCCTCCCCCTTGGCAACCGCAAGTCTGTCCTCTGTCTGTGAGTCTGTTTCTGTTTCGTAGGGGAGCTCATTGTGTCGTATTTTAGATTCCACGTATAAGTGACATCATATGGTATTTGCCCTTGACTTACTTCACTTAGTATGACAGTCTCTAGGTCCATCCATGTTGCTGCAAATGGCATTGTTTCATTCTTTTTCATGACTGAGTAGCATTCCATTGTATAGATCTATACCACATCTTCTTTATCCATTCATCTGTACATCTGTACGACGGACATTTAGGTTGTTCCCATGTTTTGGCTATGGTGAGTCATGCTGCTCTGAACACAGGGCTGCATGTATCTTTTTGAATTATAGTCTTGTCCAGGTATATGCCCAGGAGTGGGATTGTTGGATCATATGGCAACTCTATTCTTAGTTTTCTGAGGAACCTCCATACTGTTCTCCATAATGGTTACACCAATTTACATTCCCACCAACAGTGTAGGAGGGTTCCCTTTTCTCCACACCATCTCCAGCATTTATTATTTGTAGACTTTTTTAAAGATTAAAAATGTTTTTTATTTTGAAGCATAGTTGATTTATAATGCTGCATTTCAGATGTACAGCAAAGGGATTGTCATATATACTTTTTCAGATTCTTTTACGTTATAGGTTATTACAAGATAAGTGAGCAGAGTTCCCTGTGCCACACAGTAGGTTCTTGTTGTTTATCTGTGTATAAACAACATGGTCGTGTGTATCTGCTAACCCCAAACTCCTAGTTTATCCCTCCCTCCCCCACCTTTTCCTCTTTGGACATTTATTTCCAAAAGGGTTCATCATAGGACTCCTTTACATGGCCTTGCCCTCCGGGACCTGAAATGCAGCCCAGCCCTGAGTGCTCTGAGCACGGGGACGAGACATGCGTTTGTTGGATGAACAATGGCCACACGAAGCAAATTGTCAGTGAACCGTGCACTCTTCTCACTGAACCGTCTAGTCTACCCAGCCATTGGGAGGATGGCCGAGTAGCACCGAGATCAAGGTTCACTGACCCCACTGGGCATTCACGACCTGCTCACCATTTTCAGTGGCTTTTCACCCCCGAGGGACCTATTAAAACACAAGTACTCCTGGGAGGACCCCATCCCAGCTCCTCATCTGTACCTACCTGGCCAGATGGCAGGCATCTGCCTGGGAGGAAGAGGCTGAATCCAGGTGGCAGACGGGGGGAGGACATCAGAGGAGATGCTGTCCCCACACCTGCTCCACGACGAGAAAACCCTCAGCCGGTCAGCAACCAGGTGATTTTGAAGAAATCGTTTTTCGAAACACCGGTAGGGTAAGAAGAGCTCCAGGTCAGACAGAGATGGGCTCCAGCAAAGTGGGAAAAATCAAGCGGAGAATGTTCACACACAGAAGGGTGCCTCTAACCCACTTCCACCCCAGGAGATTCAAAGACGAGGCCGATATTTTGAAAAATATAAAATTTTAATAAAGGCTACATCTCTTAATTACAATAATTATTGTACCAAGTAATTTTCCTTAAATGAACTCTTTATAATGCATAATTTACAGTATAAGTAGAACAAAATGCCATGGCAAAAGTCATTGAGTACAAGACTTGTAATAAAAAGGCATAAAATATATTTATACATAAACCCCTTTCAAAAAACAAGGGAAAGCTGGAGCCCTCAATATAGGGCGACACACGGCGTGGACGCCGTGCAGGTACAGGTACTGTACTGATTCAAGGTCAAGCACTAGAGATAGTGGATTAATACTCTTTTCCGTACAATATATACAGACATATGGTACAAGGAACGATGGCCAATAGAATGCACAGATTAAGTTAATGTAAAAACCCGAACGTCACGATGAAGGTGTCTGGAGGAAAGGTGCTGCTAGGTCTTCCCACAACTGTTCGCTTCTTTGCTGGGCGGGGCGCAAGGGGAGGGGGTAGTTTCCAGAATGGCTGGGGTCCAAAGACTAATTTTAAAAGACTCCCAAGGAGTTGTCATCTCAAGAAAAGCACAAGTCGAACCACATGGCTCCAGAAGGTCTCAGCCGTCGGGTGCTGGGCCCTGGTGGGGAGCTCCAGGAAGTCACAGGGTGAACCTGGGGCCCCGGGGAGGCTCCCCCTCCTCCACAATGAACCATCCTGTCCGACAGGAGGGCCCCCAAATCAAACCTCAAGACCGTTATGACAAGATAGAGCAGCGCTGGGGAAAAAAGATGCACCAATTTCTGCGTGTGTCAACGGTAGGACACCATTTTTTAAAAAGTCTATGTTCACTTGGAGAAACGCACGGCACAGCTTAAATCCTCTTTCCGTGAAACAGAACCACGAAAACGTCCTCTCTGCCCCTTCCGTGTTTAAAGCAGCATATCCACAAACTGGGGGCGGGGGAGTCGACTGTCCAATAAATAGCAGGAAGGACTCCTGTCCAGGTGAGCTACAGTCGCTCCTAGCTGATGGATCTGGAGCCCTAGGAAGTCAGAGGTTATGCGTGGTGGTCTCTCCAATACCGTCAGCGTCTACAAGAGCCAGGAGCCGTCCTGTCCGAGGCCGGTGGCCCGAGCCAGACGCCGAGGCTCAGTCGACCCTCTCCACCTTCCCCAGGATCCGGCCCTCGTACGTGGGCAGCACCACCTCGTCGTCCCAGACCTCCTCAAACACGGCTCCACACGCGAACTCGTTGCTCGCTTTTTTGAAGTAATACCTTAAAAGGAAAACCCAACACGCGGCTTGGTAAAGCTGCATTTTCTACTGGGTTTGAAAGGAGAGTCTGTCAGCGCTGGGGGCGAGGGGTCTGAGAATGCCGCTACCGCGGGCGGCAAGGACGTCTCCCGGGTGTCTCTGCTTTGTGCGGCTGGTCGGAGGGCAAAGCCAGGCAGGGACCCCGGAGGCGGCGGTGGCTGGGTACCCTCAGCCGCCAACAATGCTGAGGCCCAGCACCGTCACCCGACACGCACGGTGAGAGGTACCCTTTGCAGAGAACGGCTGCTTCTTTCTCCCCACTTTATTTTG